TGCTACAATGTACTAAAATATAAAGATCAATTATTTAAAGCAATTCATCTCAAAATATCGGGATATTGTGAATTTAAATCAGGTAAGACACAATGTTGTTATATAAACTCGGAATATAAAAGTAACTAGGACAGAATTAAACACTGATGCAAATTATTAGTAGCAACAGCAACAATAATAATATTATTTTCTTTCGGCTTATGCCATTTTTGCTAGCTGTGCTAGCTCTCCCCTTAATTACTTCAGATAACTGAGTAAACACTGTATCTTAAACTGAAATTCTCTTATCAACTACTAACTTTAACACATACATAAATATGACAAATGCTATGTAAACCGACCTTAACTGCATACTCGGCACGCGTTGCTCTGTGAATGCACAATTTGCACACAGAATAACTCCCCTCACCAATCGTGTTCTTTATTTCATACTCATCTGTTACCAAATTAGGTTTCACATACATCATCTGTAACCACAAAACAAAATAGTAAGTATCTATCAGTTACAAACCATCAACTATTCATTAATAAACACTGAGCTATACAAGATGCAATTCCTTAAAGGATGCCACCGAGCTCATTTTAATATGAAGTGTATAAATAAACATTTTAATATTTCAGATTTTTGTAACTAAGAAACAAATATTGATGAAAGACTCTCAGGTAACAAGCCACCCTAGAGTCTTTCATCGACTTTGGTTGCCGCAAAAGCTTCGATTTATACATAAGAAATAAATACTTTAGCATGTAATGATCGATATACCGCAGAAATTTTCATTAGCCACAGAGATAACAATGTTATAAAAGCATACTTATGCAAATGCATAACAAAGTTTACTTAGAATATAAAATAAGTAAACAAACAACTATTAACACTACTGTCATGTGTGCATATGGCAATAGTGTCTTGTTATAGTGTTAATAGTTGTTTGTTTACTTATTTTATATTCTAATACACTACATGGTATACAAAGTTTTAAAAAAAGTTTACTTACATGATATTACGACTATAATCTTTAAGCATATGTAACCTAACAGACCCAACTTATGCAACAACATATGTGAAAGTACAAACAAACAGGGAAATAATTCACCTTAGCTAGAGGATCTGTTTGTCTCTCTGTAGGTTGGTTATTTGTCTGTTCTTCTAGAAGGCAAGGTGCAATAAAACTGAATCCTCTAAATAATTCATGAGCGTTGGCACTAGGTGGGACACCAGGAGAGTCTGTAAAAAGAAGAGGGCACATTCAGACAAAAAAGTCAAACCCTGAAATCCTTTAACCCATTTAATGGCATATTTATGTACACTAGAACAATTATTTTACACCTTACGTTTACATTTTCAACGATAGCTGATATGCACGATGAAATTACACTAGATTAAATCAGAAAAAAGCCTGTTACCTATCAGTTCTGAACCATATCTTCCCACGACTCATTTTACAAGACTAGAAAGATGTGATCCATACCAAAATAGACAGTTTCCGCATGCGTACTACGCACATTTGCATTATGAACACTCCTACCAGATACAGAAATAGATCACATACAAACAATACTATGCGAGCATTACCACACATGTAAATGTAGCAACAGATCACAGACAACATAAAAGCATAAGTGTACGTTTTCAAAAAAAGGTTTACTCATGCTTGCTCGTCTACATATCCCATTAAATGCAAATTATACTGGATAAAATTACATCCAATTTATGCACATTCCACCTCTACCATCATCACTAACCTGCATGAACATCCACGACTAACGTCGTTTTCTTTTTTCGCTACTAATTTATATGTTCGTCAAAAACTGACTGTTAAGTGAACAGCAGAGTTTCGAGTGGAGGGCCTTGTCTTTGTCTCCATACATTTTACAAACTACTCAATAAATGTAATGTATATGTAGCCTATGATGTACGCTGAAATGTCTCTAAAATTGTTTATTTTAAAGAGAAAGTATTCATACAAAAAAACATCACCTCACTGCAATAACTTTCATTTTGAACTTTACCAATTATGTGTTCCTGATAACACAATGTGAGTTAGCTCTGTGACAATAAATTGGACTCGTGTACAAGCGGTCATGGGGTCAAATCCTTATCAAGCAAAAATTCTTCTACTGTTTCATGCAGACACCATCTTGCATTACAAATTACAAATAATCAATGTACCAATTTTGTGTATTTCTCAAAGATCTATTACCATGTATGAGAGTACGGCCCTATATTGCTGTTTATTCACAGAACCAAATTAAATCCATAAAAACATTCTGCATACAAAATGCCAGTTACTGAATGTTAATACTGAGCTGTAAAGATTTGTCTACTGTATTCTACTCACCTTTCGGTGTTTTAGATGTGAACTCCTTGTCAAAATAAAAGGCATCATCAGCTCGACTCACAGCAGGCTTGAATGGTGGATAAATTTCCTTTCTCATAAGCTTATCCCAGTCTATAGTTGCAAAGAAGGAATGTGATTTAATCTCTTCAACACCATCTGGACCTGAAACAGGACCAGTATGTTATTGAGGTCTGGAAAGAAAAAGAAAAATTTCTACACTTCAGCGAACTAACAGAAGTATAAAGTATCAAATTATCACATAATTTAGAATGTGGTAAATTTGTGCCTTTCTTTAACTGTACCCAATCAATGCATTAGGCAGAATGTGAAGTTCAATGGTAAATGTGCCATTAAAATGTGGTTATTGTTTCAGCAATTCTGACAGAGGCAACACAAAGCCAGATTTAGACGTGCTAAGCTAAGTTAAGTTTCAGAGGCTGCATAACAAATTAAAACAATGTTAATACAAACATTACAAAAAAAACACCAATTGCTTAAACTTGCTATGAGCACTGACAAAGATGAAATTCAAAAACTAACAACTGAAGTAGCAATAACCGACAATGGTACTCTTTAAGTTGTGTAATTTCTTAAAGAGCAACTAAAGGCTTTAAAGAAATATCATTAAAATAAAAATGTAATGTGGCATCCTAAACTGTCACTTATTTAGTTTGTCAATCCAGCACTGAGCAACACATTTACCTGCACCCAGTCTGTTGGCTGGATTTCTCTTGAACAGTGCACGTAGTAAAGCTTGCGCCTCTGGAGATAAGAACTGAGGCATCCCAAGCTTTGCCTTCAGGATCTGTGTCATGGTCTCCTTCCGGTTTGGCCCTTGAAATGGCAGAGTTCCTGTCAGCATCTCATACTGAACATAAGACACAATAATAACAATATTAGGCCAAATAAGCAAAGCATTAATCACGTTAACACTTAAGTTTACTGAATAAAAAGATAGAAATATTTCTCCTATGTTATCTGAAATGTAGTGTTTGGAAATAGTATCAAACATGCTTACTTAAATACAACATGCAATTTTTCTCCACAATTTGTGGTTTTAAAATCAGTGGGTATATCATATTTGAAATTGTAGGTATGAGTTTGACATCACGTCATCACCAAAATCGTTATTTCAGAATTTTACATGGCAATAACAGAACATAAATTAGGAAAGGGTCATTTTTTAGCAAGAAGTACATAGATAGTTTTGTAACAGCAACGAAGGCCATCAACACCCACCATGTGTATTATGCTCTCATTTCAAACATGGTACTTCATTTACATGAAAGATCATTGCCTCACCCGAAGAAATGTGGCATGAATAAATCAAAAAGAAAAATGCTGATATCTGTTGTTAGAATCAACTTTTTTAAAAAAAAAACTTTAGCCCAAGCAAATAACAAAACAAAGGAAACCCAAGAAATCCTTGCTGATGTCAACATTTCACACATACAATATTTTCGACACACCAGTGTTTACAAACAGTAATTTCATGAAAAATCATTAGAGCAGAAACTGAAACTACGTAAAAATAATTGGCCTGAACAAAACACAAAACGCTTTTCTTGTTATGGATATCTCAAAACTGACATACATATTATTGTGTTGCTTTAAAATGTTTACAATGTAGTACGATATGGAAATTTAAAAAAAGAAAATAATTTTACAGACATGCAGAAACAATGCAAATGGAGAATTAATAAAACAAACACACCATGAGTACACCCAATGACCACCAGTCTGCAGCAAAGGAATGTCCCTTTCTGTTAACAACTTCAGGGGCCATGTACTCGACTGTACCACAAAAAGAGTACGCTTTCTGGTCATCCAGTGGCAGTTTGCTTAATCCAAAGTCCGTCAATGATATGTGGCCATCGGCATCCAGAAGAATGCTACAAGAAATGCAAACAGCCATTTCTTAATAACTGACATAAGGAACGTGTCATAGAAATTATCTCCATATTTAATTTGAACATTCATCAATTCAGGGATGTAATCAATAAATATACAAACATGGGGTGTATTTTTCATGCTTATTATGTTTCTATTCATATGTGCAGAATCTTTAAGAACAAGACACTCCATTTTAGTTCACCTACAGTCTTTAACCTGTGTTATGAGACATCAAAGTTGGGGATTTGACATCATGTTTGTTGCATCGACCTGGTCCTTCTGTGTACAAAAATATTACCTTGCTGAAAGTTTTGTTCACACTCAGTGAAATGCTTATAGACAATTTTACAGCAGGTGCACATCATACACATCTACAATTATGAAATTGGTCCCAAAAATTTGAATGTATGAGTGGCTGGAAGGAAAGTGTATAAGGAGTAAGTCTGCACGCAAGAAAATGCATTCATGTTCAAGAGATTCTTGCATTTCCTATATTTCCATCACAATTCTTGTCCTTGGATTTTCACGGCTGCAGTTTAATATATTAACTTCAGTTTTCAGGGATAAGACACATCAGTGATGTGAGTTTTATGTCATGTTGTACCCTAGTCCAATTAAGTCCATCAATTGTCTTCAAGTAGTTTTATGAATAGTGATAGCGAATCTAACTATCACACGTAACTGATTCCTCCAGTAGCAAACATGAAATAACTGACTAAAAATAATTCACAACAGTGCTTACTGACATTCATCCCACTGCAAAGGTAATGACCACACATCAGTTACTGTGCATTACTCACTCCGTTTGGAAGTTAAAAGCTACAATTTATTTCCTGACATCTCACATAATTTTATGTCATGTTATGTCATGTCATATGTCAAATATAGTGCTCAACATTGTGTAGATATTACTTCTTAACATTACCAAGTGTAAATGTTCTATTTTAAATGGCAACCATATTTAAAGGGATGAGAGGGAGACCACGGAAACGATGGATAGATAACGTGGAGGAGGATTTGAGGACGATGGGAGTGAGGGGATGGAGAAGAATTGTGAATGATAGGACAGAATGGAAAAAACTCGCCAAACAAGCCAAGACCAACACAGGGTTATAACGCTACAAGAAGAAGAGAACCATATTTAAAGAAGTAATACCACGTGGAAGTCAGAGTCAGACTTGTCGAATAGCTCTTTCGAATTTCATACTGCCCATGAGTTGTGTTAGTCATTAGTACACAATGAGCAAAGACAAAATAAAGTACAGCTGTCACATACAATATAGAATTAATCTCTAAATTAAACAATTATGTAATGCTGTTCATACAAGCGTGACTAAAATGTACTTTCATAATTAAATTATTACAATCCCTTTTTACATTACAATTTCTTTGTTTTGGAATTTTCCATCATCAGATGAATGGGCTGTAATTATCAAACCAATGTTTTGAAGGATAGACTTTCAGGTGTCAAACAGGGAGAGGGCACCACCTATTCTGGTGGATCCAATAGACTGAGTTACAGTCAATATGTGGACACTTGTCTAACACATCTAGAAATGCCCTTTTTTAAAATCACAATACAACAGACAGAAAAAGCTAATCTGATAATATTAACTCACTTTTCTGGTTTAAGGTCTCGGTAGATAATTCCTAAACTGTGAATGTGATCTAGTGCCAGAACCAGCTCTGCCAGGTAGAATTTCACATCTTCTTCTGTGAACATTACCTGAGAGAACATTTAAAATAACATTTTATTAAACCCACTTAATTCACTAAGAACAACCATTAAGGTTGACAAAATCCATATTGCAGAATCTTTATTGAAAAGTTTATGGTTATGCACTGGTTAACAAATTTCCTGTTTTGTGGAATTAGAAAGGGCACTTCCATATTCACATAATTCAAAAATGAAGCTAACATCATCACATCCTATTTGCATAAGATACATTTTAATATTACCATCTTATTTGCATCCATGTCTCCAAAGCAACTTTTGGTGAGAATTTGCTACTAAAATTTTGAATGTCCTTATTATCTCCCTGCACATGCTAAATGCACCACATATCTCATCCTTCTGATATAACAACCAAAATAATATTAGGTGGTAAAGATTAATTATGAATCTCCTCAATTTAACTTTCACCGCTTCCCTGTTAGCCCTTTCTTATTAGGGTCAGATCAAAATGTCACCTGAAATGTTGTTTGTTTACACAGTCCAACAATAATGATTGTACACAAAACCAGGATGTTCGGTTTCAAAACGCAGTGGCCAAGCCACTAGTATTACATCAATACTAAATAGGGCAGAATTTTACCAGGTATAATAATTTCAAGGTCAAGCAAATTCTCTAATCAGGTTGACAGTACAAGATTGTTTTTGCTCTCCTCTATCTCAATTATAAGTTTTTCTGCACAGATAAAATAAGACACTTGTTAATGCTGTCATGAACATACTCACCTATCATATAAATTGTTTTATAGGGATTTATAAAGAATTCTGTGCTTTGGAATATCCCTAGGATTTTAACAACCAGTTTTGCCACACACAGATCCTAAACAAAGGTGGAGGAATATGAGATATATGAAAGTCTATATTTGGTCACGATATATAACATAACACTGTATGCACACCTCCTGCGATAGTCTGGAGAACAGATCACCCCCTCTGAGGAAGTCCAATATCAGGTAGAGTTTGCCCTCTGTTTGGAACGCATAATGTAACCTGACAATGAACGGGTGTTGAACATCTACCAGAATATTACGTTCCGTCTTCGTCCTCATGCGGTCTCGCACTGTAACAATACCAGAGACAGAGGCATAAGGACTACTAAACATATAATCCAAAGGAAATATTACTACTTACATCTTCAATATCAATTACTAGCAAATTAAAATAAATAATGTAAGATTTGAGGTTTTCACAGCGGTGAGTATGAAGATTTCTGTCTTCTGGGTTGTTGCGCTGTGTAGTCTGGTTGAAGTTCACCAACGTTTCAGACGCCATACTGCCTCTGTCTTCAGGGCGATAAGTTTTCACAGTGGTGAGTATGAAGATTTCTGTATTCTGGGTTGTTGCGCTGTGTAGTCTGGTCGATGTTTACCAACGTTTCAGAGGTCATACTGCCTCCGTCATCAGGGTGATGAGGTTTTCACAGCGGTGAGTTTGAAGATTTCTGTCTTCAGGGTTGTTGCGCTGTGTAGTCTGGTCGATGTTTACCAACGTTTCAGAGGTCATACTGCCCCCGTCATCAGGGCGAGTCATCGACCAGACTACACAGCGCAACAACCCAGAAGACAGAAATCTTAAAATAAACAAAATTGAGAAAAATCTCAATTCTTACTTTACTGTGTTTCTGAAACCTCATCTGTCAAATTCATCATACATTTGCTTTTGGAGGGGGCGGCGAATTATTTTATTTGTCAGGTTCGCATTTCATTCATTTACTTTGTTTGTCAGAATTAAATAAGTTTAAAATTAAAAAAGGTGCAACTATAAAGAGCAAATCACAGTGGTCACTTGGTCTGGGGCATTCTCCTTCATCACTTGGATACTGGGTTTGAATCCCACTCAAGGCATAGATGTTTGGCCTATCTCTGTGTTGTGCTGTCCTGTGTAGATAGAGGCCTTGCCACAAGCTGATAACCCAACCAGGAACTTAAAATTTTTCTAAACAGCTTTAAAAACCTCCCACATGTGAAGTGGCCAATGCCCTTCATGTACGAGAATTAATCTACAATGATAAAACTGGGCTGCAAGTCCACTCATAATTTGAGCTAAGCCGCTTCTCTGCTAATAAATAACAAGACACGTTTACACTCTCTGGCTTATACAAGTACACCATAAAAATTATAATCATGAATACCTTTGAGTGTTGCCTTCTTCAGAACTTTCATGGCGTAAAGAGTACCACTGTCCTTACCCACAACCTTTCTGACAAGGAACACCTGTGAAATGGAGGAAAACGTACATTTTTATATTATGATATTCCCTTTCCAATAAGGAAAATTATCAGTTTTTAGCTATAACCAATAAAATCACAGTTCCATGCAAAATTTACTTCTCATATTAATTTATGTATTATGACAATTCAGCATATTTGTATAAATGATCTGTCGCGACATCCACATATCTTAAGATTTAAATTTTACATCAGCTGAAAGCAATTAAGTCTTCTCAGGCGATCAAATAAGTGAGAATGGAGTTAATATCCGATGATTTTTGAAACTGTCTCAGCTACGATCATCAACCTTGACGATGGAGGTAGACAGGTAGTATAAAATTGTAGTACACTTCTTATCACTTGTATATAAGCAAAATATGAAATGCAATAAAGTCATCTTGAGCAATTAGCCATGCAAAAACACATATATTCCTTTAAAGTTCAGTGGTAACATTTAATTACAAGAGCAAATTATCCACAGAGCGACTATTTCATTCTTTCAGCCCAAAATGCTGATGCAGCTGAAGGATGGACAATTACTCTTGCTGGTGGAATGGATTGGTTCATTTCAAAGTGACCATAGACAGCAACAGGACAGATTGACAAATTCAACACCTCCATTATTATTATTTTTATCCGTGGTGTAACAGTCCTCTGAGAACCAAAGCCGGCTAGCTGGCTGCTGGCCTCACGTTCACATGCCTAAGCAGAGGTGAACGATCATCCAACCAGATATAGGGTGACGTGTGGTCAGCACGACGAACCCCCAGCCATTGCTAGCTTTCCTGACCGGATTACGCTACCCATTGTAGCTCCCCAATTTCCTCACGATGCTGGGTTGGCACCGGTCCCATACACCGGTCGAAAGCTCATGAGAAATTTCTTTCCCCGAGACTCGAACCAGAGCACATTCCGTATCGCCAGTCCAAAGCATGATGCCTCAGGCCATGCGGCTACAGCGCGGGACCCATTATTAATTTAATTTAAGTAATTTGTGAAAACACAGAATAACAAAATTTAAGAAGTCTATTACAGTTCTACAACATAACGAACTTACAACTGCTCTAACGTGAACTTGCCTTGCCGAAGGAGCCCTGACCGAGCACCTTAAGAAGTTCAAACTGCCCTGGATCAGCCTTTTCATGGCCTTCCTTGGTCACCTCCTTCAGTTCATACTCGTGGGTTTCATTGCAGTCACTTTGGTCCTTGTTATTCTGTTGATTTTGGTGTTGGTGGTGGTGATTCTGAAACAACAACAACATGCAATCAGAAATTGTACTGTGCTGCATGTCACAATGAATTAATCTATTAATCAGCTTTCTTCATTTATTACTGGTTATGTAATATTTTTCTAATTGTTATGAAATATGGTTTCACTGCCCTTTCAGTGAAATCGTTACCATATTTGTTATAAAATTTAGCGACAAAGAATTCTTCTGTAATGAAAGACCATGAGCAGAGTTAATTTTTGTTAACTGATTTTTAATTAATATCCACCAAAACAAAAAAAAATCCTAGATGCAATATTGTACATGCGTATATATTATTAATATTATTTCTGTGAAGTAAATAAATGATGCAAATACGAAATTCATACTTTTGCTGTACATTTCTGTAATGCAATCAAAAATTACAATGATAAAGCATAAACTTAGAAATCCTATATTTTACATGGGAGTAACAACTAAGCCTTATGTTTTTAAACACTATTTAGGAGACTTAATTCCAAGGGGTGCTATGAAGGCCAACAACATAAAAAGTTAATTTTCAATTTAATTAATTTAACAACGCTACTAACAGCCAACAAACTTATCAGTATATTTATTATATAAAGCATACGTTAAAAGTGACATAGAAAAGTTGCATTTTTTATTATTATTTTTATCATCACTGTTACAATCGTCACCAACATCATTACTGCTGCATGTAATAGTCACAGAATGTGAAAAATGCAAACACCCAACGCAGTTCACAGATGAAGCAGCTCAAATACCTGTGTATCTACAACATCTCTGCCACTTTAAAAATTGGCCATTAGAAAGAAATGCTTGCCTGTGAAGTGCACAGCCAATAAAGCACGGTGACTACCTACAACTGCCATCACGGGAAACTGCTAAGCGCACGTAAATTTCCGTATATCATCGTGAAACTCGTTATCATAATCTTCCCGGTTTCCGAGGATCTCCAAGCTCATACAACATTGTTTGCTGATGACTTCTGGGATAATATTCCCAACACTGAAAGCAGCCCTAGGGAATCTGGGTAAAATCATTGCAGAGAGAGAAAATATAAAAAAAAGACTTACGTCTCTACTGGCCATGAGATTGATGACATGACAAATATACGTCAGTTTAATGCAGACTGGAGCAAACTGTCTCTTAGCTTTTCATTCTATGTGCTCCCAATTTCACTAATCTCTAAGCAAAACTCAATGTTGTTAGACATAACAAATCTCAACAGAAATACAAAAGCATCCCAACTGAACTATGCTAAATTCTTGTCCTTGGGGTTTTCCAGCTGGCACCGAATGGAAAACATCGGCTTTCACGGACAACTGGTCTCAAATATTGAAGGTTATTCAGCGTTTCAACGAACATTGTAGAAGCCATCTGCAAGGTGAATAAGTTGGTTGGTATGTAACCCTCTGAAACTCAGTGGTACTACCTGCTTCAACATAATTAACCAGTTGTTCTTAGAAAATGGAGATGTGTTCTCTTTGAGTTATACAATCGACTTTACAAAGAGTATCCTACACTATAGAGTGAGTGAGTGGGATATCTATATACTTTCTAAGAAACTGCGCTCTGGCGGCAGCAGCTTCTCTAGTGGCAAAGATAGTCCCATATACTGTAATAAATGTTCAAGTTCGGAGTCCGTTTTCGTTATTCTGAACATGAAAACAACTTCCCTGATGACGTTCTGGAGAGTTTTCCACACCGTGAATATCATCTGCTGTAAATTTGGTTGAACTTGGCAACAAAATAGACTTGTAACAACGAGAGGTACATGCACGTTATGATTTCCTCTTTCACAGAAATGACTGCATTCTAGACAATTCCACTGGATGCACATGATCTTATCGTGGATGTATGGTCGTAATTGCAACCAAAGGACAGCCATGCAATGAGAACTATACGAAGTTCAGCTGTGACAACTGCTGACATCTGCACATAACCATGCAACTCGGTGAGGTCTTGGCATGTCGAGTTCACGTCTCACCCCTTCTTTTACGAAGGCACTTCGGTACGAAAAATGCCTCGAATCCACCATTACCAACGCATACTTGGTCAATGGAAACCCGGAAATATGGCTGCGGTAGTAACAGACGTAGAGAAAACAAAATGCCGCTATCAACAGCAACAAAAGAAGAATGTTGCTGGAAACACACTGAGATTAATCTGGAAAGATACGGTGAATGTGGCCATAGATGATCAGTTCATCTACTTTTGAATTCTAATCGATGTACCTGCAATTAGAAGTCTGTTAAGGTGCTAGATACCCCTAAATGACGTATGTCTATGATTGTCACCATTTCCCATTATTGTTACGTTCTGATTTACCGTCGGGTCACCGCTGTCATTTTTTCGCCAGATTGAGAATTTAATCAAAGTTTCGTACTTCTAAAATAGGAAGCCCTGCTTTTACTTCAAACTTGACTTTACGGCAGTTTATAAAAGTCTTGTTACCAGAGTCTAACTTAGGAAAGAGTTTCTTAACCTTGTTAGGAAAGAACTTCGTGTAACTGTAAAGGCTATTTAGTGCCTGTTATGTAATATGGCAAATGACACATCGCATACACTACAGTTCTTATGTAGGGCCTGACTTATTAATTTTATAGATTATAACAAAATTTTCAATGCCAGCAAACTTTTTCTACATATGTTTGCGAAAAACATTGGGGAGTCTTCATTTTGCCAGGCTTTATACCTTCTCAGTCTAATTTTTATACTTACTGAAGTTATAATTTTTAAGTTTCGCTGGGACAACCATTCAAAACACGACTCCTTACAAATGTTAATGCAAGTGAAAAGGCGAAGGGGTAATACTGCGTTAATATGCATGTCTGCCACATTTCATTATTAGTCGTTCAGCTTTCATAAGAAGCCCAACTACACTCATAAGGGGAAATCTTATTCTAATCCAAATGTAAATAATGTCTGCAGCATTTATGTTCCCTAATGCACTCCATTCGTAGCCGCGCGGTCTGAGGCATCATGCTTCGGACCGGCGATACGGAATGCGCGCTGGTTCGAGTCTCGGGGGAGGAGAAATTTTCTGAGCTTTCGACCAGTGTATGGGACTGGTGCCAACCCAGCATCTTGAGGAAATTGGGGAGCTACAATGGGTAGCGTAATCCGGTCAGGAAAGCTAGCAATGGCTGGGGGTTCGTCGTGCTGACCACACGTCACCCTATATCTGGTTGGATGATCGTTCACCTCTGCTTAGGCATGTGAACGTGAGGCCAACAGTCAAGCTAGTCGGTTTTGGCTCTCTGGAGCTGTTACGCCACGGATTTAATTTATTTATTTTAATGAACTTGATTCACAGAAAATATCCTGAAGATGACTGGTTTTATTCAGTTCATCCAGGCAAATATCGGGAGGTCGTTATCTTCCACAACCAATCCACTGAGCTTCATTCGATACTACATAAACTCAGCAGCTTACAAAATACTTAAAACAATCAAACATCAATGTTCCGTCACATTTAATTCCTAGTACTTGGGAACTAATCTATATTTTCTTACAGACAGATGAAACTTGTTTCCTATTCTATTTGTCGTGTCACTGAATTGACAGTCACGTGATATCTGAGATGTCTCAAAGGAAGGGATCAGTGAGAAAAGTATATAGAGGAGGAGGAGATAACAAGGGCGAGGGAAAAGAGACAAAAATGCAAGTATTAACTGACTATTGAATGAATGTCAGGAAGAACGGAGCAGAGGAAGAATATACTCAGAACAGAATTATCTTATAAATCCCACACGGAAGAACACGATTGCGCAACCGAATATGCGATCGTGTCGTAAATCAAATGAAATTTTACTAAAGGTTATAAGTTACGAAGAACTGTCACGGCTTTCACACTAAAAAGAGTAGCAGAAAGATAAATGGAGCTGAATTCATATTCGTGTTACGTTACAGTGACCAGATCCACCTTACGTGTCTACAAGCGCATTTGGGGCTGACAGCTGGCTGTGAAAACCACTGATCTGATTCAACTAATCTGAATGTCTGCTACAGCGACAGTCTGCTGATGTTTCGTCCATTGTTTGTTGTACTTAAATGTCAACACGGATCTGAATATTGCTCCACTACATGGAATAATAAACGGATGTGCTAAAAACCGTATTCTTTTTAGCCTACTTTTCTCATATGATATGATATCATTGTATTACGTGTCCCTCCCCAATAACTTCTGTATAAGCAGACGGGTTTTTACAAAGCAGGATGTTAACATCATACCATTGGCGACTAGCGTACCGTTGAACTTACCACGCCAAGATTTTCAAATATGGCACGATAATACAAACCTTTCTAATGCTGCTATTAATCTAGTTTGATGGGGGAAACTTACGAAAAATTGAATCTGATCATGTGAAAGCTTGTATGAAGATGATCATAATAAACACGTCTATGAATTCTGTCAGAAAAATCGGTCCGCTGTTTAAACGTCAGTAATCATATGAACAAGACAAAGTAGCCACATACGAAGGTAATGTCTCGTCATTTGTCTGGAAAGAGTAAGTAGAACCACCGAAAACACAAGGACAATCGATCTTCGAGATTTAAACTCGAAATATCGAGAATATGGCAACCGTTTCTATAAAAATGTCAGGTGTCCAAATTCTGCGTACTTTTCTTTAAAGCCAACTTATACACACTCAGTATTTCCAATCTCATGACAGCACAATGTGCAATACAAACTTACTGGAAACGCGCCAACGCGTTAGAAGTTTTGTCGTGCTAAAACTTTTATTAAATCTCATATTCGATAACAGTTTAAAAAGTCTGCGATAGAAACACATTTATAATTTAAAACAATAAAAGTATTCGTCTTTACGGATGTTTCTATAATGTTATAACATTACCCAGAAACTAAAACTGACAACAGCGTCACCTGGGACCTGCTAACTTTCGTTGGTAGTTCGGAGTAGAACGAGGTGAATGGCTTCTCGATCTGTCGGTACGATTAACCGCAGGGTGTATCGATTCTGAAAGAACGTAATCAAAGCTTGTTGGCT